AGCAGAGTGTTGGGAAGTTCAAGCCCAAGGGGATTCTTGAAAAAAAAAATGGAGATGTTGGTGATAAGTAATTAAGAGGAGACTGAGAATTCCATGGCAGAAAATAATGAATTGAAACAATGGATCTCTGTTTACCTGAGATGAGGAAGGCTGTCAGTAGAGCACCAAACAGGTGAGAGGATATTTAGAATTAAGTTTTGAGCATTTCAACTTGAGGTATCTTTAAGACATCCAAGTGGAGGGCTTTAGTAAGCAATGTTGGAGGTTTGGTGAGAGGGATATGTGAGATATATATATATTAGGAGTCATAAACATGTAGGTGGTATCTAAAACCATGGGAACTGGAGACACATTAAGAGAGAGTCTGGATATGGAAGGAAGACCAAAGATTGAGCCCTTGGAGTATGCTAGCATTGAGAGTTCTAATAGAACAGGAAGACCCAGTGACAGAGTGATGTAGGAGGAAAAGCAAGAGTGCTGTATTCTCAAATCCAAGTGAAGAAAGTGCTTCAGAGAGGAAAAGGTGATAAAATGATGCTGATACAGCAAATAAGATGATTGAGATGATTAAAATGATTTGATTCAGCAAAGTAGAGGCCATTGGTGACATCTATTTAGTTAATGTCAGCTGCATTATCTGTTTGAAATATCAGGACCAGTTTTTTTCTTTCTTTTCCTCCCAAGTGTTACCACTTCTACCTCTAATATTTAATAAACTTGTCCTGTCAATTGTATTTATCAACAACAATTATTCATCATGTACACTGGGGTACTAGATAATGAGCATATGGAGATGAACAAGACTTGGTCCCTCTGCTTCAGGAGTTTATAGTTGAGGATAACTTTACTTCAACATAATAGCAGGCATAACTATATTTCAATAGTAGCAATAAAAATAATGTTAATAATTACTAGAATTTCTTCTATTAACATGACATTTTTTCTTGCTGCTGCTACTACTCTTACTACTGCCAACTAACATTGGAACACATACTCTGTGCCAGGCATATGTATCATCTGACATTATCCTCACATCTCTATGAGATGGCACCATTTTTTAGAGGTAAAAAGTGAAGCAGAGACAGGTTGAATAACTCACCCAACGGTATACAGCTAGTAAATGGTGGAGGCTCTATGTAAAACCAAGCAGCCTAATTTCCAAGTTTGTGTTCTTCACTTCAACTGCAAGCTGGCATTCCATAACTCTGAAAAGTTGTCTTATGTCTACTAATTTATTCCCTCATTATATTACTTCCCCCTTCTTGCTTCTCCTTTTTAATTTTTACTGGGATAAGTTTTCTAGTAAATTACTTGCATGTGAATCTATGTCTTAGGTCTGCCTCTGGGGAACTGAATTTAAGACATATAATCTTCCATACTGCTAAAGAATTGTGACGTTGACTTCTATATGTCTTTTTTCATTGATTAGTGTTTGAAATAGTTGTAAAAACTGATGAAGTACGAAAGGGTATCAATATATTGACATACATTTTGAGCTTTTAGTTAAAATCACTTTTATTTAGAACTTACTATGACCTCAACTATGATTTCCCAAGGAGACCTTGTTGAATATTCCTGCTAGTAAAGCCCAGATGAGACTATCTCAAGTTATCAATGTGGTTGTTGTAAAATGTTACCCAAAAGCAAAGGAATAAAGAATTTAGCAGAGGCAATGTAACATTACAGTAACTTAGAAAATACTTATTTAGTGTATGGCACTATACTAAATACTTTCTATATAGCAATTCATTTATTCTTCCCAACAATAGCATGAGAACTATTCTATTTTATAGATAGGGCACTTGAGCTCCAAGAAGTTAAATTACATGACCAACGTCTCACAGGCATCAGTACTACAAAGGTAGCAATATTAGTAACTATCATTGACAGTATCAGTGATGGTGTACACACTTTCCTTCATTGCCGTGTGCACTCATGCACTACCGTAAAGGGCTCAATGGCTTTTTCAGACTTAATGAAGAGTTAGAATGGTTAAAGAGAATTATAATTTTGAGAAATGGGGAAAAACTTTTGTATGTTTCATGTCTTTCCCTATAGTCCAAAGGAAGAGCATGCCAAACTTAAGGGGGTCAATTTTTAGACATATCTTACTGTAGTCAGCTCAGGTTGCCATAACATAAAACCAGGACTGTGTATCTTAGATATCAGAAACTGATCTGTCACAGTTCTGGAGCATCTAATATCAAGGTGCTGGCTGATTCAGTTCCTGGTAAGGGTTCCCTTCCTGTCTGGCAGATGGCTGCCTTCTTGCTGTGTTTGTGTACATGACCTTCCCTTGGCTCAGGCATGTGAGGGACAAAGAGATTTCTCTTATAAGTGTCTTCTCATAAGGGCAGTGATCCCATCATGAGTGCCCTGCCTTCCTGAAATTATTATGATGAGTTATCTCCCAAGCAAATACTCTCTAAATCACATTGTGAAGTTAGGGCTTCAACATAGGAATTTTGGGGAGACTCAAATATTTCATCCATAACACAGCTATTCCCTAGACTTTCTCAGATTAATATCCTCTCTGAGAGAGAGAAGCCAACTTCAAAACTTCTCAGTGTAAATGTCATCTTCATTTAAGAAACTCACATCTTATTCATGTGGTTTGATCACGTGTTAGAATCCATCACCCCCCCCCCCCCCCCCCCCCCTAGCTCCATTCCTACAGGCCTTGTGACTCCTTCTTTCCTACTGCACCTAGGATCTTTTGCTTAACATACTCTGGAAATCCCCTATATCTACTGATGTGGTGACCCTCAATTCTTATGTTTCTATGTTCCCCACTTTCAGTGACTCTGAGAGACTCATTCCATGTGAGCCTTATCCTTACTGACCTCACAGCTCTGGCCTCCTCTAATTCTGTACCTACACCTGGGCCCAGTGTCTCCTACTCTTCCTGATCATGTGACTCTCATCCTTACTGTTTCCATTTCCCCTACTCCACTGGTCTTGAGGGCTCCCCCTAGTGACCCTGATCTAGTAACATGGTAATCCTTTAATCCTGACCCCAACTGATGGCAGCTTGACTCTCTCTACTGCTATCACAGAGAACCCCATTCTAATACAGTCATCTTCTCTCTATCTCAATTTACTTTTTGCCAGTTTCTTTTTCTTTGAGCATAGTCTCTGAATCTTATTTAATAACCACTCTGCTCAATTTCCTGAGGAATTTATCAAAGATCTTTTTATTTATATATAACAATTTTGGCTTGAAAATCAAAGTTAACGTATGGCATATGATACTTCTTAGTTAGGAGCCATTATGGGTTCATTAAACAAGCACAAAAAAGCATTCAGCAAATGTTAACTGAATATTGCAATTTTCAAGGATGCCGTGATGTGAGAGACAGGCACCATGCTATGCAGGGGTTCTGTTTCTGTCACCATTTCAACATGATCATATTAGGAGGTCCTTTCAACTCTTACCGAGACTATTTTACATAGAACAAAAGGGAAACCATACTGTTCAAGAACACCTGTTTCCTTTATAATTTTTTTGTTGCAAGGTTTCTTATGGAGACATGGGTAATTTGACCTCAAACAGAGGTTATACTTGAAGCCCTTTGAGGGTACAAAGATTACAGTATCAACATTGCTATCTCCCAGCTCTGAAGATCCAAGTTTGGACTGCTGTTCCATGGATTGTCTGTTTTCACTGGCTATGGAGGGGTAGAGAGTGTGACTGTGAATAGAAGCCAGTGGATGCTCTTGTGTCCAACGTGAAGAAATTTTCTTCATTATATCATGCTTCCTTTAGATCAGCTTTGAGAACCTAACATAAGTAATTGTTTCAGAATGTGTAGGATTGCCAAATGGTGATTTCTTTTCCTTCTCAGGTTTTTGGTTGACTTCAGAGCATTTTTAATTTTTATTCTTGTCATTACCATATGGCTCAAATAGCATAAAAAGTCACAAGGGTGACTGTTTTAGAGATAAGCATTTTCTTCCATTATAATACATAGAAGAATTTATTATTGAAATATCAGAACCTAAAAACTACATATATACTCTTTGGCATTTTATTCTTGAAGGAATAGTTTATAAAATTATTAATAGCATAATTAAATCAGACCTGTCCACAACCATTATTAAAATGTCTCCTTCATCTTGTCATAAAAGCTAGTCCTTCTTTGATGAGTACAAACCACCAGGCTTTTAATGCCTAAACCCTTATGAAACATATGTTTTTTAAAAGCAGTACTGGGAGCTGCCAAGATACCAGGAAAGAAGAAGGTATGATTAGATGAGAAAAAACAATTATTTGATTTTTATTTACCATATTTGCTTGATAATGTTTCCTGAATTGATGCAGGCTCTATCCTGGTCAAGTCTCTTGTATTCTTTCCCAAAACAGAATCTATCTAATACCATGATGCTTGGGAATCATGGACTTTCCATGAATATTTTTTCATTCAAGGGTTAGTAAATTTTCTTCACAATTTCAGAGGGTAAAAAAAAATACACTTAAAAAAACAGGTGGGCCAACCGAGTGGCTCAGTTTCTTAAGAGCTCGATCAAGAGTTTGAGCTTTGAGCAACAGTGGTTCGATTGCTGGCCTGAACTGAGCAGCCGCTGAGCTGCCAACAGGTGGCAGGATTGCTCAGCTTAAAAAAAAAAAACCACACACACACACACACACAAAAAACCCCAGGCAACTTGTAGCTTCCAACAAAGAACTGTATATTGGTTTCAACAATCATCTAGCTAATCTATAGATTTCTGTAGCAAGCTACAATGATTTTGATCCCTATATGAAAATCTCATTCTTTGAGACTTCATATAATTTATATATTTTAAAATAAAACTATTCTGAATAGTAGTTTAAAATATGGAGTTGGTATTTTAAATGGATTTTATTTGATTTTTATCATATGTTCATATATTTTAGTAACTTTTTTTTAAACCAGAATGAATTGAGACATAGAAAAATCTTCAACTCTTGCAATGTTAATTGATTTATTTCTAGATGTTTCATTTGAAAAATGGAAATGATGAAGGTTCTTGTGAGAAGGAAGTATCTTAGTATTGTTCAGGTATTGTAATTCTTTTGTTCACATTCTGTACTCTTGGGGTCATTGAGTATTATTTTTTCAAGTCATCAAGCACATCCTGCTTTGCGATTTTGAACCATTGATCAGGAATTTTACCTCTACCTACAAATTGTACTCCATATTTTTCTTCTAGGTTTGATCTGAAGCGACAGACAAACCATTTCCAGTAGGGCTGGGTGGATGAGTCTGGGGTGATGCTCCACGTGGCATAGTCCCCTCCTGCCTGTCGATAGTTCTTGTATGGGAATTTGCGGTCATCACTCAAAATAAAACAACATTCACTTGCTACTGAACTAGTACAGAAATCAATGGAAAACTCTTCTGTTCCATACCATCTCCATCCATTGACAGCCTCAGGACGGTGGAAGGGAACACTGTGGTCACCGTCATGTGTGGGGATTGTGTTCGTACAAATTGCTCTGCAGAAGGGACACTGTTTCCAGCAGCCACAGAGATGTTCAGAGAGCATTTTCTGGATTTCAGGAACTATATCTTCTACAGGCATACTCAAACACTTCTTTTCTACTGTCTTCATTGTGGGATCCAAACCTTCAGTCATGGTTTCTTTGAGGAACTCAATATCTTTTATCTCTTGGTGTTCAATGCTTACCAAGTCATTTCGTGGAAAGATCAGGTTACTTCCCAGGTGATCACAGAACAAATCCAGCCACTGAGACACAGTGCTGCTTTCATCTTTAGCTATTGCTGTGGATTCATGAATTGCTAGGAGGATGACATTCTTGATGTCATCTAAACATATTTTTAAAAAAGTCTTTATTGTTTCACTTCCTTTGTTTGAACAATACTTTTCAATATGATTTTGAATGTATTTCCTAAAAAATGATTCTGAATTATGAAGGTACTCCCAGTAATCATTGAAATTTTCTTTTTCTGCCAGAGAGATGAGAATGTGTTTCTCCAGGTTAGTTCTGTTTCCATTGAATGCAGGGAAGGTAGAACGTATGTCTCCAGCAATCAGAGGGGCCATCTTTTCCCGTATGGCAGTGGAGACAGCAGGAGTGAGTTTGTACCACAGAAAATCAACAAATGTTTTGATTGAGGTTGCTCCTTGACAAGAGATCTTAAAACTCATGAAGAAATCATCTTTCTTGCTTTCCAGATAGTTTACAGGGTCCTTTGCTCTATTGAATGCCCTATGTATCTCTTTAAAATTCTCTGCTGCTGTTCGGAATAAACACAAAGATAAGTCAATTTTATATTTACTTGTAAATGTGTATCTATCCTCAGTGGAGGCAGAATTCACTTCCTCTTCTATTATTCTCAGGATTTCATGGAAATAACTTGGATTGTAATCATGTTGTTGCCTCTGAATACTTTTCATAGTTTCAGTAAATCTTGAAATAATGTGCTCATTAGTCCTGTCTATGGACTCTTTATCATGGACACTTAATGACATTCTATATATGTAATATTTCTTGCTCATTTTGACATGTTCCTCATAATTGATTTGAAATGTTTTTCTAGAATTTTTCTTCAGTGTGTTTACCATGTCTCTCTCCTTTTTAAAATATTCCAAAAGGATGCCTTCAGAATCCACATGAATGTTAGGCTCTGTGACTAGAGGGAGTGTTGAAGGCACATCATTGACCCATTTTTCCCACAGTTGATTGAATTTCTCATGTAACTCTTCCTCACTCAATTCTTTGCCTTTTACAGTTAAAGCCAATTTTCGACTTTTTTCTAATAATTCCTTTTCATAATGTGACTTTTCGTTATCCAGTTTTTTTTTACTCTTTTTATAATTAATAAGTTCCTCGGCCTCTCTTCGGCAGTCTAAAATTAGAGCCTCTTTAAGGATCTGTAGCTTATTTTCAAAATTTGCTTTCCACTGAATCAGTATTTCTCTCTCTAGATCTTCATTAAAATACTTTTCAAGTTCTTGTTTGATGGCTTCATATTTTTCTGCAACTGGAGCCGCAACTGTGCTTGTTCTGATTGTCTGGATTTTTCCATTTCGAATCTTGTTGAACAGCTGGTTCTGCAAGCCTAGGACATGACTCCTCAGCTCCCAGGTCCAGCTGTTATACATGGTTTCCAATTTGTTCATGGCCATGACCTCTCGGGTGTTCCTGAAACTGAAAATAAAATTCTCATTCAGCAGGGCTTTCCATAAATCTTGAACTCTTGATTTTACATCCGATATCTTCATGATGCTCCCCCTAGATTCCTGTTTGGCAGTCATAAGAATTCTAGTTTTCAGTTCCTGGACGTTGTGGCTGTAGCGAGGATTGGGAGGGGCCATTGGGGGATTGCCATCCCAGAGGTGAGCGAAGTAGTAGACATGAGTATTGACGTCAAACTTAATGACATCACTAAAGCGGGTTATATCTGAGCACTCTTCTTGCTCAGCCGCTGTTACTGCCATTTCATCTAGCCTCTGTTCTAAGCGCCTTCGTCCTTCCATAGTTTGGTCTTTAGCTGTAACTTCCCCCACATTCTGATGGACAAAGAGGCAACTTGGGGAGATTTTTACTTGTTTCATCCTCAGAATGGCTTGGACAACTATTTGGAGAATATCTTGCATTTCTGATGGATTTTCCCCAAATATATTGATCAGAGTCAAGTTTCCAAGTCCAATAACAAAGGTTGCCAACTCATTGTCACAATTGTTGGATTTGTTGCTCATTTCAGGGGCCCGAAGTCCTTCTGTGTCCACAACAAGCACAAAGTCAAAGCCAAGTTCCTCTGAGAATGTCTCGTCCACCTTCAGCAGCTGCATGTAGGCTCCCCGGGTACACCTCCCAACACTGACAGTGAACTGCAGTCCAAAAAGTGCATTCAGCAGGGTGGACTTGCCTGAGCTCTGCAGGCCAAGAATGGAGAGAACAAACAGCCGTTTGTTTCCAAGTTTCTCAGAGAGCTTGTCAAAAATCGCTGTCGCCCACTTTAGAGGCACATAGGAAGCATCCCCATCCATCAGCTCAATGGGCACACCAGATATCATTAGATCTGCAGCAATCTGGGGAAGGGAGTAAAAAAGTATATCTTTTGTGGATGAAGCTTCTTCCAGAGCTTCATAGATCTGGCCAACTTCTCTGAGAAGTTGCTCAATTCCCAAGGTACAGTCACTAATCTCTATGGAGATAGCTTCTACCTGATTTTGCCAAACTTTCAGGTTGTTGCTATTTGGTATCTTTTGCTTTTCTGTTTGTATTTGTGACCACACAGACTTTTTCTCTTCATTCAGTTTTTCCATGCATTTTGCAGTCAGGTTTTCCAAAAACATACTCAACCATTGGAAAAAGTAGAGTTTGGTGTGAGTTTCTGAATGTGTTTGGAGAATTTCAAGAACAGAGCGCATTAAATCATTGAGAGGAAAGGCTCTGGTCAACTGTTCATGTCGAATTCTCTGTTTTTCTGTCTCAATCTCACATTTGTGTTGTTCAATGCTCCGATTCCCCTTTTCTCTCAGGTGATAGAGCTCTTTGTCCTTTTTACACCAAAGATGCCACAGTTGTCCCTGAAGGGGTAGTAAGTTTTCCTTTACCTGGGATATCTTCATTTCTTTCAGTAGGACCATTAGGATCTCTGCCTTTTCTTTGGCTTCCTTGCAATCTCTCTGGTCTTCATCAATAAAGAATCCGTGCTTGCGAGCAATGTGGGAACTGTCCTCTATGCTCATAGCAGTGTCTGAGAGCTCTAGCAAATGCCTGATTGTAGTAGCGAGCTCCTCTGTTAATTCTGCCTCGTTTCTGTTCCTGATTCCAATGAATGCTTTCTGTTTAGAGGTATTGGCCATGGTTTTTTCTTTGTTATCTAGCAAACAGATCAGAGGCCTTGATGACTGACTCAATTCACGGACAATTTTTCGG